ATGAGCAAATAATAGACGCACAACGTTTCTTCGGTTTATATTATTTTGTCGAATTACGTACGATCCATTTTGTTCTGTTGAGATATTTCACAGACTTGGTTTCACGTTCGTACGAAGGTGCATTGTTCCAAAAAAACATGTTTGCGAAAGAAAGACACTTTCCGGACGACCTAATATACCCGAACTTCGCGCAACGTTGACTTTTCGCCCACTAGCCTTTCCTTTTGCTTTTATGACGTTATTTTTAGAACCATTATATATTCTACATATCTCGAAAATTATGGTGTCTGAATATCGAGTGACCGTGGCATACATACGCATTAATATAATTTGTTCAATTACCTGATGTGACTTCTCCATTTGATATATTTAATACTCGATATGAGTTTCGTCTTAATTTAATATTTTGAAATAACGAAGCAGAGGTGCAATTTAAAATAAAAAGCTGCTTTACCTCTTGGCAAGTTAATTGCAGCGTATCTACGCCCGTGGTAATTTAATTAACGTATTCAACGTGGAACACAAAAATAGGTTATTCTCGTGAACACCTCTCTTAATATAATTTCATTAAAAGCAACACAGCATTCGAGTCACTTTGATCGTAATAAAAGGAAAGCGAGAACGAGTGCTTTTAAACGGAAGATTCGTAGAAATTATCTTAACCATGCGTTTAGAAAAGCGGCACGTAATAAGAATCGTGGTGAGATTTACAGAAAACTGTGCGTGTTTCCTCTGATAAAACGTTCCTTTTCGTTTAACCGTGATTTATTATCGAAACGAATGAATTTCGATGGTTCAAAGTTTTCACATCAGTATTCACGAACAGCTATAACGCGACTAATTAATTTCAACGATAGCACTAATTTGTCGGATAATTAATATTTGTATGATTCATGATCCTTCTGATATTTCGTGAACAATGGACGTTGATGTTAAGAATTACACGTTGAGTAATGTAAAATATGCACGTGGAACACATATACTCCGTACTTTCCAAGATCTTCAGTATTACTTTTGCAGGATATTCATCGTGCAAATGCTTAATTAATTTCGCTGGGAGATTGATTAATTAAATGATCAATTTCCATTGCGATATGTATCAATTATGGTGTTTTAATTTTTTCATAATGTATCATCGTTTATCCTCACTTTGGCTTAATTAAATTTCTTCGCCAAACATGAATATTTACTTTGAAATTTACCGACTAGATAGAATCGTTTAAACTACAATAATGCAGTAAAGTTATTAATATGTACCGCTACAAAAGTAAACGAGAAATATGTACAGCCAATTAAAATATCGCGTACTAAATTTCCATAATTAATTCCATATTCGTATCGAAATATAATAATACTCCGATACATTGGAAGATTACAATTTTTACAAACCGATGAAGTTTCCAACTCGAACAGCTTATCATTTTCCTACTCGCTTTTATCGATCTCTCTCTAACGCTAAAATACGACTTTAATCAATTACAATCCTATAAAAGCTTCGACTCAATCGCTTCGTAAATATACAGTCAACTCTCTCTTTCTAACATTTAATTTAATGCAATATTTCCTTTCTTACACAATTTCAGCCTTAAACGTTCTTTATCGAAAAAAAAGAAAAAAAAAAAGAAAAAAAAAGAAAAGAAGAGAGAAAAAGATCGCCATAATGTAATATTCCACAAAAGCCTGCTCCACGGTGGCAAGAAACCTAAGAAGCTACAAAAACCCATTCACTTGCAGCAGCGAAAGGGTAACGAGAAACAGACCGAGCAATCTTCGCAAAATCGAAGAAGCTGCTCTACGAGGAACGTACCCCACAGCTTCCAGTAACATCGTCTAGGAGCTGCTGGCCATACAACGCGTTCAATCCCATCGGAATATCTTAAACATAAAGAAGCTCTTTCCTGCTCGTTTAACGGACGTAACTGCTACTCTCTCTGTTTCGTCAGCGACGAAGAGAAGCGGCTGGTATTTGTTTCGCGAGATATCGGGCGCGGTGATCGCGAAAAATGGAACCGGAAATAATTAAGCCAATGGTAACGAAGGCACTTTGCATAATTGCTGGCCAGGGAAAGTACAGTTTCTGCAGCGACGCTGATGGAGGAGATGGAAAATGCGAGTCGAAATTCGTTGCACCGCGTCGTGGTGAAATCTGTTGGTGAAAATACGTGCAAAAGCGTTCGACCGAGGGCTGAGTTATGAGTAGCGTGTGCCGGTGAAAAGAAAGTAGGAAGGGTAGAAGTGTGGTTTGGTCTCGGTGTTTGGAAATAGGGGGCGATGTTGAATCGGTTGGAAGATTCTTTCGTCGGAGTTTTGAAGATTCTACGGGGCTATTGTGTCGAAACGTGGCCGTGTGCTAGACCGCAAGGCTCTTTTAGCTGTTTCTCGCGAAAGATTTGTTAAGCTGTTACGAAGTTACTTCTAAAATAAAAATCGTTGAGATAGCGTGAAGTTATCTTTCAAGTAAATAACGGTGTTTTGTAAATAAATATAAATTTTTGTCAAGTTATTTATTAAGAAAAAAAAATGTATATGTAGTATCGTGGACGAAAGGCCTAAGAGATCCTGGCAAACCATAAACAGTGTCGCGGTGGTAGGGCTAAGAGGAAAGAGAAAGGGATGCTAAGAGAGAAAAACGAATTAATGGTCAGTGTTAGTTGAGAAGTCAGAGAGTGCGAACTGCGTTGTCGAGATAGTGTTGCTAGTGTCACGTCGAAGACACAAGAAATAGCGAAACCGATAGATCGCCGGTGATCTCCTCGCGTGGCAGTTCGAACGTTTCACGAATAAGGCGAAGAAATTGAACTTCGTATAAGATGATGGAAATTTTATTGTATAAATGCAACAGAGTGACGGTTCAAAGCGTTACAACAGAATTAATGTGTTGAGCGCTAATTTAGGAGGGTTTTTATATGGAGGTTTTAGTCCCTTTGGAGTGATTATCGTCGGATGTATATCAGAGGCGGCTATTCAGTTGCTGTTTCGTTATCATTTCGATAGCTCTGTGATATAGAATGTGATATAATGGTACGGTGTAATACCGCGTGGCCTGAAATTCCTAAGTTGACAATCTATACGATGATATAGACTGGACGAACAGAGTGATATAGTATCATAAAGGCGTGTATATGCTTTAGGCTGAATCTACATATCGATCCGTGGAGAATTGTACGATTGGAGATCGTGCACATTGTACTCTCTGAAGCATGGATTATTGTAGATGAGATTCGTATTGTTTTCTCTTCTACTGTCCTATAATCGATATACAGAGAATACTTATATCGTTTCGATCTCTAAATGTTAAAAATAAATTATTCTAACGACCCACGGTACCGCAATGCTATTCTGTCGTTACAGAATAAGCGCGTTAATATCGTTACCCAAATTCTCTACAAATATTTCACGTTTCCCTCTCAAACTCTGATCCCCAATTTCAAAGCCACACCGTGCTTCAAATTCCGAAACAAGACAGAACAATCTCGCTCGGTCGATGACAACTATTTTTCCCCACGTGAATCCTCTGGCGTGTTCGATCGATAACATCTTTCTTTTTTTTTTTTTTTAATCCTTTGTTCGCCATCTTTGCCATCTGGCGAAAAGAAACTAAGAAAACGACGAAACCAATGATTCGGTGAATAATCCGTATATTTCCTCGGAATGCACGCAGGCAATCGAAAAATGCGGCTTGCAGGATGGAAAAAGGAATAAACAGAGCAGAGACACGGAGAGAGAGAGAGAGAGAGAGAGAGAGAGAGAGAGGGCGAAGGAGAGAGAGTTTTCGCGCACGTGCATTAGCGGCAAATTGAAACCGACGATGTCAAAGGGAAAATAGAAGGAGAAGAAAAGGAAAAAGAAACGTTCGACGCGATATTAATAAAGTCGTCGCGTCGTCATTTCTTTTCTCCTCGTTTCACGCGTTACTTTTTCATCGGGGGTTTGCTCGTTTTTCGATCGAGGATTGCAAGCTCTCAGCCAGCGAGCGCCAGCAGACACGCGATTCCACTACGTCTCCCGGAAGTCTTCCGGCGGAACTCATCGTCGTCGCGTCTCGCCAACGCCACTCTTCTCCGTGTTTTACGTACTTGCGATTCAGCACGACTCGCCCCTTTCGCGTAATGAGCCTCGTTAAGAGAACGAGCATCGCGAAAGAACGGTTTAATCCTCGATATACCCGAACCACGTTAGAAATCCTGTCGATTTTTTCTCATTTTTCTGAATCGGCGCCGATTCTGTTGGAATTTCGACGAGTCGGAAGAAATTCGAAGTTGTGTAACACTGAAAACTTCGCTTAGAGTCATCTTGTTCGAGCTTATCATTTCTACGAGTCTGGTTCTCGCGAGTATCCTACAAAAGATGTTCGTTGTTCCATTCGTTTTTGAGTCTCCTCTTTGATCAACAGTAGATTTTCCCGCAGGGCTACGAATAATTTAGATTTGGAAATTATCCAGTAATTTTGTTTCGCACCGAAGCGTGTAATAAATTTCCATAAAAAACATTATACGAGTGATATATGTATAACACTCTACGGCAAATTTTCGTTCCTTAATTTACATATTTCACGAATATTCGGACATTTTATTCTACGCGGTGATGCGGATTCGGCCAGGCGTGATAATGTATCTTTATTTGTTGGCTAAGCGTGAAATATTTCCATCTTAAATCTTTACGTCGCGTTAGATTCATTTCCCGGGAATGTTTTAAGTTCGCCGAATTCATGGCCACTCTCTGCTTCTGGAAACTTTATCGTCCGGAAATATAGTCTCCGGGTGAAAAGACAATCTCTGCCTCTCCACGTTTCGCTACTTTATCACGGTTAATAAAATTAAAATTCTACGTTATTTTTAATTTTCATGCTTCGACGATCCAGAATAAGTCGATGAATATTTACTAAATCTCGTACTTGCTTAAAATAAAGGAGTTTCCTCTGGAGATAATAATTTTCTATAAAGTAGAACAGTGTATAAATATATAAATCCATAAAAATGTGTAAATCTGTACTCCGTAAGTACCTCTATAAGATGATTCTGTACATTTATTGAATGTCGTAAGAATATTTTATTTTCGTGCTTAAATAATCCAAAATGAATTGACGAAGATCGATTAAACTCCGTGTTTCGTTAAGATAGAGCAGCTTTGATAGACATAGATTCTGAACGATAACTTGATAGAGTGAAAAGTCAGAGGCACAAGAAACGTAACTTTATGCTGTGTAAATAAAGAAAAATGGCACGAAAAATATTTGACGTCTCTTCTCGTCTCTAATATCGAGCTGCGTGATTATTTTGCATTTTTTTAGGCAAAATAACGTAGCAACTCTGAGGTAAATTCGCTGTAACTTTTTTACGTGTTGCATTTTGAAACCGCGGCTGGTGCAAGTTGAAGCGTAATAGGACGGGATAAGATTATACGGGTTCATAAAAGAATTTTAATTCGCGCTAACGGTCAGATTCACGTACGAAGAAACAGAACGAAGCTGTGATATCGACTACGGAGGAACGAAGAAGCACGATTCGGTTACAGTGTCTGTTAAAATTCAGATAAAGAATGGTCTGAGTTTCAGAATCTATTACTGGAAAGAATGATACAGATTTAGAAATTAGGCAGGAGATAAAGAATTATTCAGGTCACAGGATACGTCGAAGAAAAGAGAGGAAAATAATGCTTTCGATGGCAGATGATATCAGTAAAGAGACAAAAACAACTTAAACGAGCAAATACATTAGACAGAAATAAATAAATAATAAACAAGAAAAGGAAGAATCTAGACGATTTATAGTAGAAGAAAGAATTTGTGGTTGGATTTTATCTTTTCAGCTGTGTTAAATTATTAAAAATATGAATTTGCACAAACACCAAATAAAAAATAACAACTTAAGAACAGAAATTCTATTTTCCTTGAAATTAGCAACATTCTTTCTCTATCCATTCTCTGTCGGTTCTTTTTCTTGCCAAACAAAAATACTCAACTCTTTCGCCAGATCATCCAACTAACTCCGCTTCACTCGATGTCGATAGAAGTCAATAGAAGACAGACGAGAGTCCCTTCGAAATCAGTATGATGTAATAGAAAATGGACCGGTGATCGATTCGTTTGACCTAAAAGTGTCACTTGGAAATTACTTGTCAGTCTCTTGTCTCTTTTACGTTCTACGTTTTCCCATCAGAGAGAAACAGAGAGCAGACGTCCTCTTTCCTCGCCAGACGCTTGTAATTTTCTCCTCAAGTTCCACACTCCAACCACCGGTTTTTGCTCTCGTGCTTTGCATAATTCACGGTTACCCTGTTCGCGTATAAAAGTGGCGGCCATTGACAGCTGTGAAACGAAGAGGATGAAATATCGTTTTGGCCTCTTCCTGTTCAGGCAAAGCTTCGTTCCTTCCGGGATCACCGCCCTTCGAAGACAACTTGATCCAACGCGATTTCATTCCCTAGCTGCTCTCGTCACGCTGTTGCTCCATTTCTCGGTTATGCAAACGATGCCCACGAGAACTTGGATTGATGCCCTTCTCGCTGCCGTGATTTTGTTCTTTTTCTTTTTTCCTTTTTCTTTTTTTTTTTCTTGTGACGATGGACACGTACGTTGTTTTCATATAAATGGGATTAGATTAAAATTTAGAGAATTGCGTTATATAATTATTGAATTTAGTCATAAAAAAATACCATCTATCGAAGAGTAAGCGATTTTTTTCTATAATTTGTTTCTTCGAGTTTCGTTTCTCCTGGTTACAGGATATTCAAATATTCAGGACATGTATAATTTCTATTTATTTTGATCCATCCTGAAAATGCTTTCCCCGTTATATCATATTTCAATCATATCCTTTTCGCCATTCTTTTTCCGTTTCGACCGTGTACTTCGTTTTTATATATCCAACAAATATTAATTACAGTCTCCGTTCCATCCAGCGCAGCGCCGGGCTATCTAATCCGCGAGGATTCGCCAGATAAACTGTATCATTTTCCACTAGCTCGGCGAGAAATTAAAATCCCCAGAATCATATTTCCATCCTTAAAGCCTGCCTCTGTACATATAATAAGCCGCGGCCGGTTTTATTTATCTTTAAGTCAGCATCCAGTGGCGAATCGCGTTCGTAGAAACGATAACTATCGGAAAATGAGAAAAGATGATAAAGCTATATTACGTCCTGATAAAAAAAATTCGCTATTATCCTTTCCTTACTTATATTCGTTTTTATCCTGTGATCCGGTTTAATACCGAATCAATTACTCCAAGTTAATAACGAAAAATAAACTTCTCTATCTTTATGTTCGTTTCAAGCATCCAAGATCTGTTACCATATTACAATACCAAGAAGCGTTCTCGAAATACAGTTCTTTCGCTTTCACTATTTTTTACTGTTAGCTGTACAAACAATACGAGCCCCAATAGCGATTATTCGATGTACACATTCAAAGCGCTATACCTTCAAAGCGTAAGGTCGACAGGCCTAATGTACCATCGATATCTTTACGGTTCTTTCGCCGAATATTCGGTAGAACGCACACGCGGCAAACGTCGCGGATTTATAATAAACGCGCGCGTAGTGGGGATGTCGAGGGGCAACAAAGAAAAAAATCTGTTTGGTTTTGAAGCAAAAGATTCATTCTGCCCCGAGCTGCGATGTGCAAAAGGCCAAGCGAAGCCAACGCAATTAGAGAAACGAGTCGTCTACTCTTGAGAGTTCAGCTTTAATCGTTACTTGTTATTAATCGTTGTTAAACGTTAACCGTCGTTAATCGTTAATCGTTGTTAATCGTTAATCGTGGTTAATCGTTATCTGTTGTAAATTATTAAGAGTTTAATAAACGTTATTGTTGAAAATCAAGGGTATTTTCTTGTGGGCACCTTCACTGACGATCGCCTCAGGTTCAATAACGAATCCACGGTCAGCTGGATAACTCTTTGTTAAAACGTAGAGTATATTTTGAAACACAAAAACGTTCGCTAGGACGCTCGGTATATTAATCCCTTCCCGTGCTTGTGTGTTGTGGACAGTGAAGATCTTCCATTGAATATTTCCCGTGAGATGTTGCAACAAAACAAAATCCTCAAAGTCATCAGGAAGAATTTTGTCAAAAAATGTCTAGAACTTTTCGGAGAATTGTCTAAAAAACAACCGATCATAGCTCAATCAACGCACGAAGCGGAATTCGTGGCGATGCAGGAAGCAGCAAGGGAAACAGTGTGGATTTCCTTACTGTCAAGGGAGTTGGGTCAATTGTCATATTGCCCTCGCCCTTGCAAAATTTTTTGTGATAATATCGGGGCTATTTCATGGTCAAAGGATGAAGTAGTTGCCGAAAGTTCTAAGCACGTCCATAGTTCGACGAAACTCGGACCCAAGTGGTAGACATCGACTAACATTCTGTCACGATTGTAACGGAGAAAAAAACAGTCCGCGAGCTTAAAACAATCCTCGAGCTCGGCTTGTTATGTTTACGTTTGACCCAAGTATCTAGTCAGACTCGCGATATTCATGTTTGGACCAAAATCTTCATCGCGAGTCTGACTCGCTAAAGTATGGAAAGGGGTTAACTGCTCGTCAAGAAGATGTGTAACTCTCCAAGGAGATCGCACGAAATAAATTGGTCGGGGGATACCAACAAAATTCCAATCGCCGTTGCTAGGCAGTCCCGCGTATCATTGTTTCTGGCCGGAGTTTGATTATTAATACGAGAGTGAGATTTAAGTTTATTGAGTCCAGAAAATACAGTTTTAGGTACATTATTCACAATAAACATGAAGTTTTCACAATAAACATGAATTTTTTGATTATTAATACAGCGTGAGTCCCATGATATTGACGCTTCTGAGGCAAAACCACGCGTGTTTTTTAGAGAGAACTATACAACCACTCCGTACCTCTGTTAGGTAAAAACGTCCATCCCGTGACCTTGGTTACGTTTAGCGACCAGTTGTGTCACTTTGACCCCAAGCCCACTGTCACAAACCTCGGGCAAACATAATCCGATTGAATCATAAACAACTACTTCTAAGTTTTATTATTTAAGTACAGCTATAATAAATAGTCTAGACTAAAGTATCGGGGATCTTCCCAAAAATTCCAAAAGAAAGGTTCTTTCATCTCCGACATATATACACATACACACACCATATAAACAAGTCTCACTGTAATCTCAAAAACCATGCGATGGAACATTAGAGAAGAATTACATCCACGAAATATTGGAGAAACAAATACACGGATCATCGTATACGCGTTGCAGACAAGATATTCGAGAAAATTTCATGCAGAGCCCTTCAAAAGATAGAAGGAAGCGTACCCTGGAGACTCCATTTTGTTTCATCCCCATATCTCGATCGGTTCTCGAGATACGGTCGTTTGAATATAGCGTGGAAGGCGCGAGGTAAAGTGAATGGCGGCCAAAATTCCCGGAAACGCCGTGACCCACTTTTTTTCCTGGAAATGCGTACGTTGCGGACGACGCGACGATAGTAAAAAAGCGCTGACTCAGCGGCTGTCACTGACCACCGCACTCGAGGTAGGCCAGTGAACGAACGTGCGAGAGAGAAAGAGGGACAAAGAGAGGGAGAAAGGTGCGACAAGGACAGCGACAGCGAAAATTAACGTTCCCTTCGAACGACGATATCTCGAGAACGGTACATCGTATCGACACGAGGTAAAAACGGTTTTGAAGAGGAGGATTTTTTGTCTCTAACGAGTTAAGAAGACGTACGATTTTGCTGCGGGAAAGTGTTTTATTTTTCCACTAAAGTTGCGGCTACTTTAATTAGGTTTTGGAATCAGATGCTGTCGATCGTGAAATATATCGATGAATTTGATTAGATTAGGTGATGGAACGAGATTATGGGTGTTATTTATAATTGAGTGCATCGAAAATCGGATGGAAAATATTATTTTCTAACTGATTGAGATTTGGCGAAGTAGGATTCGTATTGTAAAATTTCGTGTGTCTTCGACTGATTGTTAGAAAGAATTCTCCGGTTGTTTTAGGTAGTGCGATCGTGTTATAGCAGATAGTGGAATTCAAGTTTCAAGGGTGGAAATTACGCAAACGTCATAACGTACGCTTTTCGTTGCAACAGTTCTTAGAAGTTGCACAGGGTGTACAGGCATTGTTTAAGAATCTTTGCAGGGTAGAATTTCAAGTTGAAAACGGCATGAATTTCGGAATTACAGAAACGAGAAACGAGGAGAGTGAGAAGATCCGAGCACCGTCTAGTTAATAGAATCGAAAAAACAATTGACTCGTAGTCCCTCCGAAAATTTCGTGGAATATTTCAGTCCTGCGGAAAATGTAATTTTTCAAGCCGCCGCGCATTGTCGAAAAATCGATCGTCGAGTAACGCGTTCTGCAAATTCATCCTTTGTTTTCGCGTGTGAGCGCGTGGCGTTCGCGAAAAGGTTGGAAAAAACGAACGGGAACACGGCGATTAATTAATTAACGAACGTAGCCGTTGATTTCCGCTAAGCGTAGGGGATACAGGATCAATGCAATTAGACAGATTGCCGGCAGACTTGCGAGCTCATCAAATTTTAAGATCACCATCGCAATTTCATTAAGCCAGGTTTGCGAATATCTGACAGGATTTAATATTTTTAGCTCGAATGTAATAATAATGACTGCCGGAGATCGTTTCTCATTAATAGCGAAACTAACATCCTCTCTAGTTTTAGATGAGAAATTTATCTCATTTTTTAATATGGTTATCGCGATTAATTTTTTTTTCGCCGATATAATTTGACAATTTTCATCATTTTAAAAAATTCTTTCTATTTTATATTATTCCGCTTGTTTTAGTTATCGCTCTATGGTATTTTACTTTGTTTTATGACTTCGTTTAGCGTTCATTACGCTTCTTTCTTTACGTTCTCTTTCTATATTCGTTTAATTGTTGCTTTAAATTATTTAATTAATCGGTTGATTTTTGAAATTTTCTTTGCGTCGATCAATGTTTAGAAAATTTTCAATTTTTCCAAAATAATTGTATTGACTCCTTTTTAATGATTTTAATAATTCTAATAATACAAATACATGAAAGTCCGGTACACATAGTATCTTTTCTCTTCGATCGACTCAATTTTGATAATTTCTGTTTGCGATTTCAATCTTGCTGCGCTGAAAGCAGGGAATAAAATATTTTCGGAGCCTGAGTAAATAGTTATTGCATATTCCGTTGTTAATCAGTGAAGTATTATTGGAGGAGTTTGATAAACCATATTTTCTGACTATACTTGCTGCAAGTTTAATTCTTATTGTTCCAATCGCTCAAGAATAATATTTTACAGCGATCTATCGGTAATTAGTACGCGATAAATAACTAGATGCGTTATGAAAATAAAGGGAAAGAGCATTTAATAAACGCATAAATAGAAGGATATAAAATAGCATTCTTATACAATAATTTTCTTTTCATATTTAATGATTTCTCGAACTAAAATCATTTGCGAATATTTGTAAGTAGATACAAAGTGATCGATAATCTAATTTTCCACAGAAATCTTGTACATTTACAATCTCGTGCTAAGGGTGTACCAAAGATTGTTGTACAATTGTGGGCGATTGCAAAATCGCCTATGCGAAAGCAAGTCGAAAATGTAGAATAACAATTATTGATACAAGACTTTGCTTTCGGGAAAATCAATTAATTTACTTCCCAAGTACTCGCGCACCTGTACGATCGAATTTCGTGATCCATTTTCTTGAAAACAAGGCCAGGCAAAATTTTTACAAATCCGAACGCACGCATACGAATACCGTTCACTTCCACACACATTCGTATGTCCTGTTTTAGTATTTTTCTGTAAAACAACGTCGAATAACAAAACTAATTACCTTAGCCAACGTTCACACCCCGTTGAATGTACTCGTTTGGGAACTTCGTGCGGTGTAGGCTTTCCTTTTCATTCTTCCAATCTTTTTTACTTTTCTTGATGATCTATCGATGATCGTATACATCGAGGAAACAATATATCTCTAGTATGATATATCGTTTTCTTATGCAAGTACAAATAAATTAGCATGTGTTTTAAAATTGAAAGAAGTCACGTTTCTCGACACGCAGGGATTTTATGATGACGGACTAATATCAAAAATTGTTATTCTACATTTTCCACTTCCACTGTACGGGAAATCGCAGCCATTCGGCCTGTACCACCGAACAGAGTGCCTAAGCGCGGGGAAATTCGTTCGATAGATTGTCGTTACCTCTCAAGTGCACGCGTATTTGATGGAACTTTATCGTCGATTTTGTGGAAAAAATCCTTGTATCAAAAATTGTCATACCACATTTCCCATTTACTTTTACATAGGAATCACCCTTTTTTAGCGTGTACCACGATTTTCGGTGCATCCTGTATAAAAACTAGATTTTCTCGTTGTATTGTACATTTTTCATGTACCTTTCGTTTTAATTTCTTTGGTACAAGTTACATTTTATTCGTCTGTAGTTCTAGTATTAGCATACACTTGAAACTTCAAACAAGTTCAAACTTATTCTGCCTCTTCATACCAGAAGACTAACGGAGAGCATAAGTAGGAAAGAATTACCATCTTTTCGAAATAGCTGAAATAAAAATAAATTCCGAATACAATGCTATAGTATCTCTTCAATTAGAATTTCTCCAATTGGAATTTGATTTCATTTATTTCATGATTATTAATTCAAGCAAAAATTTGCAAGCTGTTTGACGCTTACGAGACTTCAAAATAGAACAAATGTGTTTTTGAATGTTATATTAAAAATATTATAGAAAAAAAAATTCGTTTAGTTAAATATACGAGCAAGCGTTTCCTCACTGAGAAACGTAACAAAGGAGACAAAAATAATTTACATTCGCAAAGCATAAAATTAGACCTGCATCGAACATTAAATGTTCGCGACAAGCAGTAAAATTTTATTATTAAACACGACGAAGGTAATAAAAAATAATCGTGCCAGAGAGTCGTAATACACGTTTACCCTGTCTTTCCCCTTTCCACGTTCGAAACAATTTGAAAGCCATAGAACCTCGATCGTGGGTTCGACCAGAAACATTGTAACAAATATTTTAATTCCCCAACCCGATTGAAAACGTTTTCCACAGTC